CTGAAATTTTTTATGCAAACTAGTCTAGCTGAGGCCTTTATGCAGGCAAAGTTTCAGGTCAAAATTCGAAAGTATAGCTTTGCTGCCAATGTAGGCGTACTATAGAGAAAATTCACTAAGAACTCGATATCTCCTCAGAAACAAGCCAGAAACCCAAACTTTTTTTATCATAGACATAGCACACTATAGGCTACAAGATGCGCGAAACCCCGATTGAAAAGCGCTCCCGCACCTTGGAAGGTTCCCTAGTAGCTCTATAGCTTGTTCTGTCCAAAAGTCATTGGCATTTTCCTAAGATCTCAGAAATCGGTCAAACAATCTCCAATCAAACTATCATAGGTAAGAACAGAAGTAATTGACCACACTGCGGAAGTCTTGGCATAGCAGCTTCAAAACAGAAAACAAATGTTATCACTCGATTCAACATGATCGATTACCCCTGTCCTAACAAATAGTACCTTGGTTGCAGGTCGTTTCGCAGAGTTTTGGACGTCTTGAAAAAATGCTGATAACTTCTGAAGAGAACAAGCTATACAGTTCAATCTTCGATAGAACGAAAAAGAACAATTAATTATCTTTAACGAATAGTTATATTTCCTTAATCAGTCAATATCTGTTCAATCCAATTTTTACTTATTTTGCTAAAAAAAATGTTTTTCTCTTCTATTAAATTTTATTTTTGAAAAAAAATGATCATCTGTCTTATATTTTGATGTTGATAGTAGTAGAGTGAATAGAAAGAATTCATGGACTAGAAATTTGTCTATTCAGCTCGAATGAACTTACGTAGTAAAAAGATGAAGAATGAATATTTTAGATCGATGTGATGGTACTAATAAAAATAGATCAAACAACACCTTGATAAATAATGCTGGAAATAGTAATTGAATCATCATATCAATATCATATTTTTTCATCTCAACATCAATTAACAATTCTAAAAAGAGATTAACAATTCTTAGAAGAAAATCTAAATTTGATTGTTTAATTAACATTTGTTCATCAATAGTTTTATCATCATAATTATTCATATAGATTAAAGATGGTTCAGCAAGAAAATGAATCGATTCTTCAATAACATGTTTTTGTAATTGATAAAATAATGGAGCTTTTTTATTCAATATTTCTACAGTAATTTGTTCATATATCATACATTTTAATAATTCTTTTAATTCAACTTTTAATATTGACATCGTTAATAATTTCATTCTATTGATAGTTTCATCTATATGTGTACGTGTACATGTATAATGATAATCCATTAATCGTAATAATGTTACAATAAATTTTCCATCACCAAATTTAGTCAATGGAAATAAACTTGGATGATCATCATTACACCAAACTTTTAACATATTCAATATTGTATAACGTGCATAGATTGTTATTAATCCATATTCACAACTCGTACGTAAATGAATATAAGTTTTTTTTTGTATTTGTCGATGTAGATAATGTAATGATTTTTTCATTTTCTTTTTTAATTCATTTTCAATTGCTGTTTCTTCAGAATCTGGTTTAGTTAGATCAACAAGTTTATGATAAGGATCTTCGATTGTTATTAGACTTGCTTCTGTTTTATCTCGAATCCAATCTGTTAATTTATCATGAATACCTACACAACGAACAGTTTTACAATACCATTCCATTTCAGATGCCATATTATCATCAGTATTTTCTGTTTCAGATAACACGTCACTAGACAATGTCGATATTAACAAATCATTTGTAGTATTATCAGTTTTCATTAACATTGTTAATGTTTCATTGTCATCATAAGAATTCAATCGTGCTAAAACATTGATTTTTTTCTGTTGTTGTTCTTGTTGTTGTGTTTTTTCTATTTCTTGATGATGTTCTCGTAGAATAGTATCGATGAAATGAATATTTGTCGTATTATATTGCTTAATTACATATTTGATTGATTCTTCTTTGTAACCAATACCTATAAGACTTATTGATAAAATTGAATACGTTGGAGCAACAAGATTATCTAAGGAATATTCAATTGATTCGATCAATTTTGTCATTGATAGACGAAGAGTATCTATTGATTTATTCCAAAATGTTATTGATCGACATTCAATTCGTAGTTGATCATCACTGATAGTGTTTTTTGTCAGATCTATTTCTCGAAAAAGATCTATGTGTTTCAATTTTGTTGCAAATTGATCATCTGTAATTGAGGCATTGATTTCTAATGAACCATTAACATAAATATGAACATATTTATGTTGAACAGAAATAAGCAAACGAATATATTCTTGTAATTTTACTATTGATGAACTTTGATGTCCTCCGGATAGACAAATATGACCATCATATGTTAAATAAATTTCTGATTGTGTATCCAATGTTAATAATGTTAATTGGGCTTCACTATTCGATGTAACTGATGGCGGATTGATCGATGGGAAATTGAGTATAAAAATATCAAGAATTAATGTATATTCGGACCATACTTGATTTGCAGTATTTAAAACTAGATAAGTTTTATTACCGAACAATTGTACGACCGATCGATTAGTACCTGATATTGTTTTGAAATAGGTCGATTCATCGTGATCAATACATTGTTTTCTTTTCTCCCATAGATTGTCTTCAAATGGTTCTTTGAATGGAACAAGTGTTTCATTTGTGAAATATTTTTGTTCTGCTGCAAATATTAATGTATTTGTTTGTTTTCGATATTCATTCAATTTTTGATAATCAACAGCAACATACAAAAGACCATAAGTGAATAGACGTCGAATATGTTCTTCGGACAATGCATATTTCCATACGCCAATATTTCGAATTCCGACATTTCTATATGGCAAAAGTTGTAGATTTAGTTTGGATTTTGTTGTTAGATCAAAACAATGACAATAATTTAATGTTTGATGTTTATTGTTGACATAGACTTTTGTTTGTTCATTTGTTTGAAATAGAATAGCAACACGTTGACAATATTTCATTGTATCATCAATAAAATCATCATTCATATCATTCATATATATTCGAATTGAAAACATCTCGTTCTCTATAGCGAATAATACAATATCGAGTTCGTCAGGATGATTTTCCATATCGTCTGTTTGAATAATTTCAAAATCGAAACTAATAGTCAACGATTGATAATTATCAATCGATAACGGGAATCCATCACTATCTTCCGATAGCTTCAATAGATGTTGATTAGTTGTTATCATATCAATATTGAATGGAACTTTGACATGATGATCATTGACAAAATCACGTAACAAAAAGATTTTCTTATCGGCTGAATCATCTTTTGAACATCGACTTGTATAGAAATATTGATGAATATCATTACCAACAAGATAGGCACTAAATGGATAAGCTACTAGTACATTTTCCATTGTCATAAATGTTGGCATTAACAACGGCTTGTAACCTTCCGGTAAAGGACATTGAGTCATGTCTTCTGGACTAAATATGAATTCAAAAGCGCCTGTATTAGCTATACTATTATAGACTTGTATAGTAACACCAGGAAAATAGGTAGTACTAAGTCCGTTGGGTAACAAATTTGTTTTGATGGTTGATTCAATATCAGTATTTTCTGAATGTGAAAATGCTGTACCTAAAAATTGACCATTTAACCAATATTTGATAGTTGTATTTTTCCCATTGATATCAATACCACAACCACATACATCTTCCGCTTTCCAACGAGTTTCATCACAAAAATTAGTTCCTTGATTATGATAACAAGTTCCTCGTGATCCATCATAACCCCATGAAAATGTATCATCACCAATACCTTTTGAATTTTCTGGTACAGGAGTAAATCCATTTGTTGCCCAACCAATTTGTGCCGCACCACCTAGTAGAGTTTTAATACAAAAGTACCATTTTCCTTCACTTAATTGTATACCATCAACAATAAAAGTCGGATATCGAATATTTCCATTGTCATCAGTTATGTTAACTCTTCCTTTAAATTTGTGGCTATTACCGCATTCTTCTAAGACTGGTAGAGTATCATTGGCAGGTAGAGAAATAATACGAATTTCATTGGTTCCAATTCGACCCCGTTTATAGGAGTGTATTTCACTTTTAAATGCAATCGGTTTCCATCCTTCGTCTATCGAACTCGTTTTAAATAGATTTTGTAGAATAACAGAATCACGATTGATTTTACTTTGATTCCATCCATTTATATTACGAACAATATCAGATTCATCTTTTACTATTTGTTTTGTTCTTTCACATTTATCTAAACTTAAATTATATTGTTCTAGATGTAATCGATTAAACAATCGTAAATCATTCGGTTTTGTACTATGAATTGAATCAAGATTATCAACCGATATTGATAGTTTAGCAATAACAGATGCATAAGGTTTTTGCATGAAAATATCGACAATTGTTTTATTATTTAGTAATGGATAGAATGCTATTATAGCATGACGTTTTATTTGTAATAATATCAATGAATCAGTTTTCGATGTATCAATTTGTGAAAGATAGCCCAATGTATCAAGAATAATATGAACTGCATTATCTATTGGTAAAAATAAGAGATTCGGCGGTAAAACATCAGTAATAATACGTAATTGATTCGATGAAACCCATTCGGTATGATTTGTTGCAGCATATTGAACGAGATACGGTTTAATATCAGATGAATCTGACTCGAGAGCGTTCGTATTGATTTCAATGATAGTGGCTGATTCTAATTCATGAATACTTCTATCAGCTGCATAGATTTCTACAGTCGATCCCAAACAATACGGTCGAACATAACCACCTAAGATACATAATGATGCAAGAAAGAAATTCATTTGTCGTATTTCAACAGATTCTAACGATGTCATATTGAAATTTGTACTTGATTTAATTGCATCAATAACTAATTTTGATGCCATTTTTTGCCATGGTGAATTTTGTGACATTATCGTACGATAGATGTAAACAAATTCAATGACAATATCAAGATCTATTTTCTTAGTTTCGAATAAATTAAAATGTTGACCAATAGAAAATAGAATATCTATTAATAAATTCTCAACATAATACCGACATGTTGTTTTGTTCATATTCTCTGGTAAGAATACTAATAGATCACGTAGAATTTTCAATGCTAGTAGACGAGTATTAAGATATTGACTCTGATGATATAAATTTAATAATTGTTGAATATAATCTATTGTAGCATAATTTGATCGAATATGATCATACAAATGAACACAACGAAGTAGAAGCATCAAGTATTGATTAATACAAGCATCATTATCGAATGTTGATGATGATTGTATTGATATTGCTGTTGTAATAAAATAACTGATCGAAGAATTTTTCAATGATGAATTTCCACATTCTTTATCGGATGTTAACATTAATTGTTTTTGTTGCAATTGTTTAAGTTCAGTTAAAATTAATTGATTAAATATAAAATCACGTTGTTGTTGTAAGATATGATGAAATTTTCGACTACCGAAATGAGTACTTCGCAATTCTTCTAGTTCAATATTTTCGCATAGTCTCAATACAATTAGACGAAACCAATTGTATGCTGTGAGTTTCATATCTTTTGAAATGATAGTAGTTGAATTTATTTTAGTAAAGCTAACAAATGAATTAAATAATTCTTGAATAAATTGAAAATGATTCAAATGACATAAATCCATTGAGTCATAGGATAGATTCATCAAATTCAATAAACAAAACATGATCATTGTTTTCATATTAGATTCAAATATTGATTCATTTAATAATGATAATATTTTTTTGACAATTGTATAATATCGATATCCAATATCTTCTTTCAATTGATTATTTGATGCTTGAATATTTTCAAGATAATGCCAATTTAAATTATTATCTTTCAAATTTGTTAAATTCATAATTAAAATATTAAAAATTCGATTATTATCTTTGATATTAAATAATTGTTCAATAAATTGATAAATAAATTTATATGTAATCAATCTTGTCATAGCTCGTTGATATTGTCGAATTAAACATTTGACAACTTCATCAGATTGAATTTGAAATTCAGTATTGATTCTAGATGTTGATGTATTATTTCCATATAAACAACTAACAATAGCTCGATGCATAACACTTTCACTATCTTTTTTTTGTTCGACAGCTTGTTTTTTTGTTAACATTATATATTTTAATCGTATACAAGCATTTAATGCATTACGAAGTAATCGAATAATATATTTTGCTTTTGTCCAACGTGATATTTGTCGTTGTACTGTAAATTTATTCGTAGTGATTATTGGTAATGAAAAATCTTCTTTAATTGTTGAAATAAAAGAACTTTCTTTGACTGATACAAGTAATAATAATGTATCATCTTTAATTTGTTTATAAAGTTCATTACAATCACCACCTCGAGCTTTCGTCGTAGCAAAAATCGTTCGTACTTGATTAGCATATTCATAGAGTGAAAGAAGTTTGATATGTGGTTTTTGATCAATTGGTTGAGTTAGTTCATGTTGAGCTAAATCAATACGACGATAATGTTTAATATAAACTGCAAATATTGCAGCACATGCATCATTAACATAAGATTCAATTGATTTTTGTAAGACACGTTGTTTATCTCGAATGAATAATTTCATTTTTGCAATTAATTGTGAACCTTGACCGTTATTATTATAAATTGAAAGTAAAAATTCACTGTCTAATAGTGATTGTTGTCGTCGAAAGGGTATTATAAAATGACTGTAAATAGCTAAATCAGATTTAAATAAATTTGATAAATACGAATTATTTTCTGTTGTCATTGTTTCATATCCACCAGCAAATAATGGCAACTTTAATGTAGTACTATATTTTTTCTCCAAAATACTTTGTTGTGGACCGATAATTAATCGATAACTCATCTTTCCGATTAGCCATGGAAGTAAATAAGTATTTATTACGTTTACATCGATTGTCATTTGTGTTAAATATTCAGCAAATAAAGGTAGAATGACAGAAAAAATTGGTTGTATAATAGCAAAATTGAATTTTGATTCAGTAAGAGTACATAGACCGAAAAGAAGTGGTTCCAATAGACTACTTTCAATTCCTTGTCTGATACAATATTTAATCACATGTGTTGTATATTCGATACCAAGAATCGATAGAGAAGATGATTCAAGTTCATCTGATATATCAATTGGTTGATTATTCAAGTAAACTAAAAGTAATTCTTGAAACATAAGTATAATTTCATGTAATTGATTAACTTTTTCAACATCTATTGAACTTGGTGGTTTTAAGACAATATCAAGTAATGAATGTAAAATTGTATATGCTAATGTTTTATCTTTAGCATGATGATCATCACATAGAACTTCAATCCATTTATGTATAAATACATTTTTAGATAATTTATCAAATAGTTGTTCAATTAATATTGGATGTTTATTTTCCATGATATGTGTATAAATGAATGCTAATGTTTTAGTAAATGATAATGTTTGTTTATCAATCAAATAGATCAATGCTTTTGTTGCTTCTTTTTTTCTTTCTTCTGATTTATCATCTAAAGCCAATTTTAATATTAATGTAAACCATTTTTCAATATCATTTTTATTCAAAAAATCATCAAAATTGTCAATATTTGAAGCAATTAAAAATTTTAAATGTGTTGTAAATAATCGTAGACAAACATTTACGATATATCCGAGATTATGATTCGATGATGATTGTATGATAATCAATTGTTCGATTATTTCATATAAATATTTGAATATTACCGGTTCGAATTCGAATGAAAACGAACTATCTACGGAACCACGTTCAAATTGTGATTTCGAATGTAGTTGATTATGTAGATCGATATGAACAAGTAATATTGAAGATATGAATTGGCCAGTGAATTTCTTCTCATTTAATGATATTAATTGTGTATTTGGAAATGCTTCCATTGATTTCAGATATTCTAATGTGGCCGAAAAATTACGTTCTACATCGGATGTTGTCTCAGTAGATAATGTCGTTTCTACAAGAAATCGAATTCAGAACAACTAAGTAGAAGAATAATCGAAGTATTGCCTTAAAAGAATGAAATATTATTTATCAACAATTGAGCCATCCTGGCTGAGTGAGTACGTTATTTCGTAGGTATCCAATGAGTATTGTGTTGAAATCTCGCTACTATCAGTCCTGGATAAGTTATTAACGGCTGTTTGTCTCAAACCATCTATCCGATAGCATATCAATTAAGTTGTAACATATATCTACTCTAGTGGTTAGTCTATGTCTATGAAGAGCTCTATCCATCTAATGAATATGGTGCTAGTCAGCACCCTATACTGTAAGGTAACTGAAAGGGGCACGCATATTCATTCTTCCTTCAATATATGATCAATATCAAAATATATAGATCATCTTTGTTTCTCAAATGAATCCATATAGGGTATTCTCTGTCACATACCGTGATAGACATTATGGATATACGATCTTTGATCATATAACTATAACGTCTTGTTATAACATATGAACTACTTTGTTGTTGAATTTCTGGAGGGAGTAAGTAAAAGGATAGTGAAGTAATGTGTCTCAAAATAGATACGATAAAACAATATCCCTATGATTAACAAGAGCAGCTACATTGTATTTCACAATTTAATCGCGCAGGAATTGTGCTAACAACATGTTTTTTAAGTTAAACGTTAGAAAATATGTTGTACTAGTACCAGATATCTTGTCTCAATCGTCATGCTCATAGTTAAGAAAAAAGATTCATTGATCTGTGTATCTTTTTTCGGAATACATTAATGACTGCTAGTGATTATCCAACCAAACATAAGAAAAAATTAGTTTCTTTTTTTTTGTCGTAGAAAATAGGAAGGACTTGATGAACTTCTTCAAATAACTTCTCAACTTTCCAGTGACGTATCCAGGATTTTTCAGTATGCTGAATCTTGACTTTTGAGCATGGGACCCAAATGAAACTCATAGAGGGTAATGTTGAGTCCAAATGATGGAATTTTAGCAAAAAAAAATTTGCATCGGAGTGTGCGAAAAAAATTAGCAATTTCCTGATCCCCCCTCCTAGGATTTTTTTACTGTTAGTATTATCTTGGATTTTAGAATTTCATAGGAAGCTATACCGAATTTCATCGACAGATTTTAAATTTCGTCTAAAAATGTGCAACCGTTCAAGAGTTATGATGTTTTGAAATTTCGAAAAAATTGTTTCCACATGTGGCAAAAATTCAAAAAGTTATAACTCTTGAACGATTACATATTTTTAGACGAAATTTGAAATTTGTCGATGAAATTCGGTATAGCTTCCTATGAAATTCTAAAAATTAAGATGCTACTAACAGCAAAAAATCCTAGGAGGGGGAATCAGGAAAATGCAAATTTTTTTTGATAAAATTTCATCATTTGGACCCAGCATCACCCTCCATGAGTTTCATCTGGGTCCCACACTCGGAAGTCGAGATTCAGCATACTGAAATATCCTGGATACGTCACTGCAACTTTCGATAATTGTACGTGGATTTCTCTTACCTGTTGTGTCTTGTTCTTTAGATGGCTCGCTGCTATTTTCTGCTGTATTCTGTGATATAACTGTTGTTGTTTCAGTTGATATTTGTTTTTCTTTTTCGAATCGATCCATTATTGTTGTTAGATCTTTGTTTAATACTACAAATAATTTTCGTATGTCATAAATATCAGTTGTATTGAAAATAAGTTTTCTAATTAATGGTAGAACATCTTTCAAAGATCCTTTAATAACCGAAAAATTCAACAAAATTTTAATCGATTGATTTGCTGCAATTGGATCGACTTCTGTTTGTATTGATAATTCATTGATATAATTGGTCAATGGTTTTAAAGATTTAAACAAATTACTTGATCTTTTGTAAACATCTGATGAAAGATAATGTAATGGAATTTGTTCGACAAGTTGATTTGTCAAATTGAGCATCTGATGAACAATAGTGGAATCATATTGTTGTACCGACTTGAGTAATATCAGTAGCATAGATATTAACGATTGAACAGCAAAAAACGAGAGTTGTTCAGCTTGAAATTGATGTAGTCGTGTCTGTTTGACTGAATTGTTGTCTGTTTGATGTTCATTTGATACATTCTCCAAATTTGAAGAATCGATAAATGCTTGAGCAAATATAGAAGTAGTGGCATTTTCATCTTCCTTCAATCTTTCAATATAGGAATTTTTTAATTGTTGTTGCTTATCAATGATCGATTGTATATCATTTTGTAGAGTTGTATTCGTCAACGCAATATGATCGAATACTTGTTGAATTATTTCTGCTATTTTCGTATTCAATTCATTAAGTCCCGATGAATTTGTTAGTAAAGATAGATCAGTTCGAATATGTTTGATGAATGTTTGTTTCGTAATTGGTAATTCAATTGAACATTTTTGATTAGGATCATAAGATGATACCGAGTTTTTACTGATTGCATTTATGACGTCCAATGGTAAAAATAAATGAATATCTTCTATTCGACCATCGGATAATATCTTATCGGAATGTTCATTATTTATTGCAAGTAAATCAGGATTTTTTAAATTAGTCAAAGACATTTGTTGACCCATGTTTAGATAAATAATGACTAATTGACGTAGTACGTCAGTGAAATGCTTTTATAGTCTTTCTCACAACAATTCTAGAATATAGAAAAGTAAGCATTGTGTCAAATTTAGAAAAAAAAACAATTGTATTCTATGGGTATGACTCAAGGGGGGAAAAGCGAGACTTCACCGTACTTCACTTTTATTTCACTGTACTTCAAGCACAATTTTGAAGCACGAGTGAAGTACGCGCGAAGTACTGAAGTCGCGCTTTTCCCCCTTGGTATGACCTAACATTCGATTTCCAGCTTACGAGGGAGCTGTCCGAAGTGATACCACGCGTTTGAGATGAAATCTCAATCATCATATAGGATCTGTTGAGACTGGAAGAAAAATAGAGAGATTCTATCTCATGCGTTACCTTTTGAAGTTATGACCATTACACTGAATTCTGTTTCTTCTTAGAAGATTTCAATAACTTCAAAAGCTGTCTATCGACAAAATTTTAGACTAAAACTATTTTCGTCTGGTTTTGTTCGTAAATACCGCGCCAAAAGTAAAAAATCCAGTACAACGGTCATAACTTCAAATAGGATAATACATGCAGAAAAATCGTTCTGTATTTCTTCTAGTCTCAATAAGTCCTATGTAATGACCTTTTCAGAACAGGTAGACCTTGACAAGTATAACAATAGTTGTCATAGACCCGAAGTTTTTGAACGTTATCTTCTATGAAATACAGAGATCACAATGACAAAGAACGAATCTTCTTTAGGCATTAAATCTGTTTTCTTTGGAATAGAGCCTTTAGTGTATAGTATATGCAAAAAGGTCCCAGCCGCATCTAACATACTCGATCAAAGAATACAAAAGCATGTCGACACTTTTTGTTTTTTATGAAAATGTTTATTTGAAAGAAAAAGGCGATAGCATGCACAGCTTTTCATTAAGATGATTTTTTTAATGTTTAACCCTTTGGGTTCGGGCGACGCACATGTGCGTCTTGGGATTTTGCGCACTGAATACCTTTAGAAAACATGGTGTTTTAGTTATTTAATGGTATAAATTGCATGAATATTTGTATTTAGGATATTTGTGCGGTTAAGGTTATCTATAATTAATGATAATTATGGGTTCTCCCTTAATAATTCAGGTAATCAGCATATTATTTAACCCTTTGAGTACGACGAACATGTTCGTCCTAATATCGGTCCTATAAAAATTTTTTTAATCGAATCGAGCTATATTATACCAAACGAAGGACCTTGGCGAGTTGAGTACTTTTTGTGACGGAACTTGGTCTTTTAAATGAAGCCATGAAGAATTCTGAGCGTGACAACGACTAAAACGATTGAAATTGTACAAGTTAGCTTACCAAGAACTCTTCATGATTTCATTTAGAAGGCGAAATTCCGTCTCAAAAAGTACTCAAATCACCGAAGTCTTTCGTTTGGTATAATATAGTTGGGATTTCAAATCAAAAATTTTTATATGATCGATTTGCCTAGCAACCGGCCCCCGTCCTTTTGACTATGTAAAAATAATCCCGGACTCAAAGGGTTAAAAACAATTTTCGGATGCAAAAATGTACTCAATAGATAGCAATCATTTCTTTATAGTTCTGAAATTTCACTTTTATTTAATTTGATTATTTTTATCTCTAAACATGCAGTCAATTGTCTTTTATTCAAAGCCATATACATGAAGAGGTTTGATTACTACTAAGATCCTGGAAAAAGATTAACCTTAGCGACCTTGTGTATGAAAAAAACACATGTTTTGAAGCCCTTTTCAACATCGATTTCTCCACATAGAAGAAGTTCTTCTCTCGTCAGAATACATTTCACGGGTCAATGATGATTGCTCCTAGTCGCACACAAGTTCCTCAGAGAACAACGAATGATTGAACTAAACCTGTTCTCTCATGTACTTCAGACGATTAATGGTGACTATGTTTATACTCCTTCCTAACTATGGCTTTGTTACATTTTGGTGGACTCGACAAAATCTCGAGCTCTAATAAGGATTTTAGCGATACTGGTCGTATTTTATCTTTTTTTCATCGACAATATACTCAAAAGAAAACAAAACCAAGTTAAGGAAAAACAACACTCACTCGAATTTGTTTCGGGTACCGTGGAAAAAGTTTTGGTTTATTTCATCAACTCCCTATTGGTAAGGTAAGAATCATAAGTTAGGTTACTTTAATCACTTACGCCACATATATCTTTAAGGGGAGTTTTTTCTACGATGATTCTGAAGAAATACTTGAGAACGGGAATCATATCATTCAAAGGACCTATATTTTTGATTATCTATAGAAATTTTGGTGAACAAATGTAGAAAATGATGATGCTGATCGTGAGAAATGTATCGATTCAATTTTAAATGTCAAATTTACAATAATTAGTATTAAGTAAAACACGAAGTTACCAATTGGATTTTATCACACTTAAAATATATCTTTCAGAAAGAAAAAAAAAAGGAAAGTGATAGTTTTTTTCTAGAAATCAAGTCAAACGATGCCTTACTTTTTTCTCCATGGTATTCACAGTGAAATCATTACTATTCTGATATACAGGTGGAGTATATTTTTCTCATTTGACAGAACAGGACGAGAGAATGAAAGCAAACGACTATTAATTTGTGCACTCAGATGAACGAGTTGATTGCAAAGACACGTGGTTTACGAAACCATTTGTACTTCAAGGAGACTACCATTTAGTCGAAGAAAACACTCAATAATCTTTATTTAACTTGCTCCGAAAAAAGAAAAAAATATGAAGAAAAGAAATCGATCTATGATTGAAGAAAATGAATCATCTGAGTATCAGATATCGACTTCTCTTTCTTTCTGTCACCAATAATTAGAAAGAGTAACATAGAATCAAATAGAAATGAATTCAAGTCTGAGGCAATCACCAAAATAATCGATATACTTTTAAATTCTATATGTACTTTATTTTCTTAGTATCTTTTGACACGTTTCGTTTTGCATAGTGTAGGTCGTTTTATATCGAATTCAATAAAAGACATAAGTTACTATAAAAATAACTTGTATCAAGTCAATAATACACATTGTCGAGGAACTATCCGAAATAATTTCTACGGTTGTGTGATTTTCTGCTGAACAATGCAACTGAAACAGATTTATTTTTTTGCCGATACAAACGTCAACGCATTGACATGCAATTCTGAGTGTTTTTCTTGCAAAAAAAAAAAGAATCTAAATCGACTATTTGTTCAATTTCTTTGCATGAAAAATGGTTATTGAATGAAGTCTATGAAAGAAGTACTAGAATAATTATATGTTTGCTTGTTTATTTATCTTCTTCATCAAATACATTACGATTGAATGATAACACAAAACAGCAGAAAAGAAAAACAGAAGCAAAAGAAACAAATTCATAATAGCAATCAAAAATGGCTATGCTTTTTTTAGATTCATAATGGCTGATATGCACTTTTCTCTTTTTCCATGCAGTAGTGACTCACTTACACAAGTTATCGTAAGGACTGAAAATGCCTGTAAACGCACAGAAAGAAAAAGCTGATCGTTTCTTATTTACAACCGTGGCTCTCAACTATGAGAGAAAAACGACCACTTTTTTCTTTGCCTTGTTTATACGCATTATTAACAGTTTGTGACTAACTGAATATTTGTTGAAAAGCAGAACAAGTAGTAGTATTCTTAATGCAAGTTGAACTCTCTTCTACAACCATTTTTATCGAGATATTTTTCTAAAATCGAGTGATGTAAAAAGCATAAACTTAATATGACATTCAGAAAATTTCTTTTAGAAGTGACTTATTTTTGCTTGCAGTGCAATGTTGTGTCAGTATGACACAATGATAACTTAGACGAATATGGTATTCATCAAACTTCGAAAAATCTGTCTTACATTAAAAAAACTGAAATTACAAGCAGTTAAAACTGCATAAAACCTTGCTTTACTTTAATAATCAACAATTCTGTATCATATATGATAGATATTACTATTACCCTGGCCAGCCCAATTTGATAGAACACAAGATGCGTTTAATAACATTCGTACATGTAATTAAGAAGTGATAGAAGATCTATTATTTATTTGTGTCGTTCTTTGATTCTCCTCCGATGGCTTCCACGACAGATCAGTAAGCAAGACCGAAGAAAAAATATTCTTTTTTCTGTTCTTGTCTGCTTGTTTCTTCGGTATGTCTATTGGGTGACTTCAACCAACCAGTGCCATTTACTAGATGAGAAAAGAAAAGTAGTGGGCGCTGTATATGCTGAAAATGTCTTTCAAATTTATGTTTTCCATACACAAATAAACTTTACAGGTAGTCGATAATTAGTATCACTGATTTTGTCGTTGTTTATTTAGAGTAACTAGAGAGAAAGTAGTTCCAAAATGCTGTGTTATTATTTAACATATCGATACACTTTGATTGACTTCTTACAAATGTCTCGTCACTCATTCTATGGTCCATTATCATTTATAGCTTCGGTGGCTATATTACAGTTGTAGAGGATTGACAATTGTTCAGAATGCTGGTTGAAACGTTTGACGTACAACGAGTGTGATAATCAGAGCATGAGTATATCGCTTTGTCTTTCAAAAACGTCGCTCTGACTAAATTACTAGTATTTTTTTTTTCAAATAGATCGAAAATAACCTGATTTTACGTCAAGAAGTGTTATTGTAATCAATCAACATGAAATAAATCTGTTTAGAATCAATTGACAAAGATTTTCTTCGAGAAAACATTTCTTCAAAAGAAAAAATCTTTCGACTAATAAAGTCATTGAAAATCATTTGAATCGATAAAATCTACCGAAAAGATCCTAGTGCTATATTCAAATATAAAATTTTGTTGTCATTTGAACCAGTTATTCGACTTTTAGAAGTCTACGTACATTTAGTACTTCAATAAACATTTCTAAGTTCTTTCATGATGTCATATTACACAACCATTTCAAAACAACATAATAGCTATGAAATCTCTCTGAGTCTCAACTAAAAGGTATGATCAAATTTGCG